GGATGAAGATTAGAATCAACATTGGCTGAATAATACGTCAATAACACATGCTGAATAACACATGCTTCACGAGCTCTAATTTTGCCCCATCATAAGGCAGGAATAGCGCGACATTGAGGCTATTCTATAATGTTGCTTATTGAAACACTCGGAAGAACATTCTCACCTATTCCTGTTGGAAGTACTTCAGCAAGGAACGAGTCTTTCCTTGAGTGACTTGAGAGGCTCTAACTTCATTTACAGAACAAGAACTATTAGTGGCTGGAACTCGCTCTGGAGATGCTTTTCTTTCTTGACAAATTACTTACCAGCTTTCCAAAAATGAGAAACTGGGGTTTGAAAATTGTCCTCCCTCTGTCGGAAACTTTGCTAATGACGCTAGAGCTAATGTACCCATTTTCCTTGCTAAATCTAACGCCCCTGGGTGAAATATTGGAAGAAAAAAATTCGCAGTTGTGCATTAGGGACATTATAGGGACATCTGTCAAAGGTTTGGTGTTGATGAGTTAAGCTGAGATGCAGCTGGACTAATAGGCAGCGTCAACTGCAAAGCATCATTTTGAAAAAAGCAAGCAGCTGTGTCAGCCCAGTGTTGGTCCCAGGGTTAAATTTGTCCACAGAGGGTTTTTAATTTTCCTGGAAGATGACGATGAAACGAAAAGTACTTGTTAACAATATGTTATTGTTATTTTAGTGTTGAGGAATTACGAAAATACCCACTTAAAGAGTGACTCGAACTCAACGAGATGACTGGCGATTTTACTCGACGAGACCGAGACAACGACTAATTTGATATTTTTGGGCTTTGAGCTGTGTGCTTGCGGTGTTCTCACCGCACTAGGTACGTACAACAGTCGTACAGCATTTCGCGCACTGGCATCATCAGCGTGATTCTATTGCATTCCAATGCTTCTTGAAGGCACCGATTCGGGGTTACCCATTCGCTTTTGCCTAAAATGCCTCTTGCTCTTCGATCGACCCTTCGGTTGGTCCTCGGCTTTCCGTTCGGAGAATGTGTTTTCCACAGGGACGGGGACAGTCCGTTTCTTACGGAAGTCGTCCAGCGATTTCAGGGCTCTGTGCATCTTAATGGAGTCTTATTCGGTCTTGGCCTTTTGGCTTGGCTTTCTGGCTTTGCTCAGTTACTTTAGGAATTCTCATCAGAATAAATATCTGTCGTTAAAACATTGTTGGCAGTTGGAATCCCTTTTGCGGCCCTGAATCCCTTCGTTCATACTCTTTTTATCATGTTTGTCACAGATTGCATGCTGGCTTAAGCCACTTTGAGCCCTATATCCATCATTTGGCGGGATAAGCTCATAGCACGTTCAAATCACCCAGGATAAAAATGGTAAGCGCTTAATGGAAGCTCTTCAATTCAAGGAGATCACATATTTGCGATGAGCCCCCTTGTCGGCTGCATGTAGGGATAGGGTACACGTCGTCTCATGTGGAAAATTGCTTAACTGGTGTCTATGTGAATGTGTAGGATTGGAATAGCACAGTCAGGCAGACTTTGCAGATTTATATTTTTCTGTATTGAAACTGTTACTGCAGGGGGCTTTCGTCTTATCGTATAGACTATATATTGATACCGGTCGATCGATGTCTTGCAACTCCACTAATTCCATATTCAATCTGTCGTGGCACAGACCGGAACTCATTGGAAATTATTCCACAATGTGAATTATGGATGAAACAGAGCAATGGAGCTCCTGCCGCATTTTGCGGGAATGTTGTGAGTCATATGCTAGCTTATTGGTAACGGTAAATGGTTATTTGTAGACACACCGATCTCTTTTACGAGGGGCGTACCTTAATGGCCAACGGAGGCCTAAAATGCGATGCCATTGAGCTAGTGTAAACCCTGCGAAAATGTGCATTTTTGGCGCTTAAGTGCAAAGCGGGGGGGGGGGGGGGGTCAGAACAACTTTTATATCAATAGTGTGTCTTCCGGAACGCATCGAGCCCAAGAATGCTACAAATAAGGAATTCAGGTCTGTGCAAAAAGCAAGGCGAAAGAAGAAACCATGGCCCTCTCTTTCATCTCCGCTTTCAATTCAAATTCAACGTAAAATGCGATTCCCGATGGAGCAATGAACCGTTGAAGAGCCACGTTTTGGGGACTTCAGAGGACTGCTCTCCCATCAATTATCATCGGAGACGAAGCCGTTGATCTTTATGACTGAGCAACTAATCTTTTGAATGTCCGAGCTGTTGAGTCCTTTCTCAAAGCGGAAATCGTGTGAGTCCGAGGACACACATCCGGATGGAAGGCTAGGGTGCAGCAAATCTCTTCTCACTCCTCTCGTAGATCCGCATCCTTAAAATGAGAAAAGTGAAGCCAGCATGACCATTCGGTTAGTCTTAGGAAGTCTGAGTGGAACAATTTGTAGGTTTTCTCACCTGTCAACAGGCTAACGATGACGGTAACGACGACTCCGACGATAAGCCCAGAGGGAAGAATCCATAGATATGACACGTAGAAAACTTTTGAGAATCCCAACCTGTGAAAGTTCGGATTAAATTATCGCAGAATGCAAGCACGAAAGCACAAAGAACAGATACAGACGGAGGCAACTCTGTCATCTAGCTTAAACAATTGCGAGCACTCTTACAGCCACATCTCGGATTTCATTATTGGTGGCTGAAGGCCTTGGACTGGAGAACAGGGGCGTGCAAACCCTAAAATTTGAGTGGAACTGCAGATCAGGTTAAGCCTGGGGTACGACCAGGGTTGGGTAGTAATTCGTTACTGTGACTCACTACAAATCATAGGAACAGGAAAAAGTAATGTCAGATCTGACGGATACCATTAACCGTGGAAGGAGCCGTAGTATTTTTTCTTTTTTTTTTGTCAAGTTTGATACGGTCATCATAGCCAGTAAAAAATGAGGACGATGAGGATCCCACACTTGTCTGTTCCACCTATTTTTTTTCTTCTTTCAGTCTGAATTAGCCTATGTGGTGATTCTGAGAATGTCATAGCGATGAAAAGGGAACTGCAACTGTAATGAGTTACTTTTTTTTTTAAAGAGGGAACTAGTTCTTTTTCTGGCGAAGAGATTGTAACTGTGACGTAGTTCCTTTTCAGAAGTAACGAACGAGCCCATCCCAACCAAACCGTTACAACCCATTACAACGAAACCAACCTCACATTTCGACCTTTCGCAAGAGCGACCCAAGCAATTCCTTGTTTGAGGCCCGTCCGAAACTCTTTAAGCGGGGAATTTCTCGCACAGAAGTCTTCCACTGGAGTCATAATTAGTGGTTGTGAAAGAAATTCACAACTCTTTCCGATTTTGTTCTCTATTTCAAGGTTCGAATTTATCTCAAACTTGAAATATATCGCGACAAAAAAAAGTAAAACCCACCTGAGGAGCGTTTCACCATGACGGATATATACGTCATACCCACTTAAGGGGATAATTAAGACTCGGGATGAGACGCGAGGAGGAGTAGGAGTGGGAGGTAGATCCTTCCCTTGAGGAGTTTAAGATTAATAGGACTGTCATTGAACGTGGAGGAGGGGGGGGATTGATGCAACCTTCATTTCCTTCTCAATCCGGTTGCATTCTAGGAGGGTCGATCAAAAAGTGTTTGGGATGCATTATTTTTTGCAGGGACACCGATACCTTTTGCGAGGGTCAACAGCTCACTTGCGGCACTCCTGTCTGCGGCGCGACAACGCGCCCTCATTTGCATCACTCATTGGTATTGAGACAGGCAAGTGCGATCACAGCCATTATGATAGTTGTTCACTCTATTCAGAGACTCAGCACCTTGTGACCTTTTCCTTGTCGAGTGGCACAAGTTCATGATTAGGGGACGCGGATTTGCCGATTGGGATGCAGTCGTGAGTGCCACGACAAGTGTGGTGCGGACCTGGCGCACCAGAGACGTGAACACCACTACAACACACTAAATACACCCGCTGAGAGAAGTGGATAAACTCATGGTGGGACTGTTCGGTATCGCAGGGAACCCTGTGACTGCGGAACTGCGTAACTAGTGTAACTAGGTATCAGTGTCCCCGGAAAGAAATCTTTCCAGAAAATTTTTGAGGCCTTCATATTTCCTACCTCCCTATTTAATTCTTTTCTTCATTCAATCCTTTCGCGCTTATCGAGAAAATTCTAACCCATCATATACGCCTGGGATAACTCTTTGTGGAGCCGCTGGGCGCATTCAGATTTGACCCGGTGTCATGACTCGAGGGTTACAGTTCCGCGTTTTTATTTGAGTTTCAAAAGGAATTTTTCCCAAGAGTGACACCTGTCAATGTCGTCAGTCCGTGCATAGATGGCCCTTGATAAATCTAGGGCTTACCAAAAACCATGAGCTTCGAGTCCTGACCCGGTCACATCTGAATGTGCCGCTATAAATCAATTAGTGCGTGTTTTTTTTTTGACGGATGAGGGTGTCAGATGACAGTGAATTGCCTGGTCGATGCAAATTAGGCTCTCCAAAGAATTACCGCGAAGTTACCGATGAAGCTTGAATATGAGCCATGAGGATGACATTAGAGACTACATTTTGCACACGATCGAGTTGGCGACGTATGGGTGTGGATACCCTCTGAGGTGGGTGGGTTGAGCGCCCTATATAGGAAGCTCTATAGGAAGAGGTCTGCACGCCTCTGCTGGGAAGAATCCAGAGGCTTCTTTTCACATTGGTTACACCCTCCCTCCCCCAGATCTGGCAGAAACATATAGTCTTAATTCCCTGGACCCATACTGCGAGGTACAGAGTCGTGCGTGGGAAAGATGTCCGAGGAGGCAAAAGCATCTTTGTAACGTGGAATTCAACCACACAGTAGTAGTGAGAATCCCATTGCCCTCCATAAACCAGAGATGCACTGATTGGATATTATATATTTTTTTCAGGAATCACAAGATCATGTATGGTCAAGATGGATTCCAGTTCTACCAGCTTTACTATATCTAAGAGTAGAGTCGTCAAAATAAGCTTTGAAAAAAGTATTTCTCAGTTCATCGCCCTCACTCGTCGATATCAGGTGGCAGTGAAGTGGGGGATGGGGTCACGTTGAAATTGCAGGCATCCACAGATGAATCCAATGGGATAGGGCCTGGGACTCCCACTATATAGGCTCCAAACCCAAGCCAAGACGTTGTCGCCAAAGACGCAATCACTCCCACAAATGCGCCCTGGATAGATTTTTCTCGTATCGGTGAGACTTGCAAGGAAGAAGCAACTCCGCTTGATAAACATAATTTAGGGAAACATCATGGAGAAAAGGGATAAGTTGCATGGAATCAATTGTAACACATGACTTGAAGACTTGAACGGCATGTAAGCGTGCCAATTCCTATGGGTTTTTCATTCTTTACGGGTCTAAGTATGATGTAAACTTAAAACTGCATTCCAGTGCTAGGGGTTTCCCCACCTCAACCTCCCCCCTCCCGGCCCATCCCTCATACGTGCTTGTTGACAAATGGGAAGAGGACAGCCGTGAGAAAGAGAGCCAGAGTTGGTCCCGATGTGACGGCAGTGATAGTCACGACCATTTGCATAAGCCCAGCACCCAATATACCGACCGCGAAAGCTAGGGCTATTGTCACCAGTCCACTCCCAGTTGCTGCACGAGAATATCCATAGTCCGGTAACGAATGAATTCAAAATGATATATTAATACTATACCAAAGGTACTCACCGATTAACTTTGTATATGTCGCTGTCTGTTTAGGACTGAGATGTTTCCCAAAGCTGGTCTGTTGAACACTCTCGAGGATCACTGCAGCCACAGAGTTCATTCCTGAAGATATTGTACTGGAACAATATTATGCTTATTAGACGTCGACTCTTACGTCAGCATCAGCCTCTATCATAAGATCTCCCTTTCCCATTCCTTCTCCTACCTGAGAGCACCGGCAAACAAGCATGCCAAAAAAACTCCCGGGAGCCCAACGAGGTGTCCCAACTTGTCCATGACGAAGTAGGGGATGATTTCGTCTTTTTTCTTGATGAGGCCTGCTTTCAAAGGATCACATCCTTTGTAACTGGCGAAAGCAACCAATCCTGAGAAGCAGGACAAGGAGATGATCCCAACCCCAATTGGAATCACGAGCAGGACCGACCTCGAGGGAATATACTAGTTTATACCCATATATGAGTCGATGATAATACCTATGCCAATATAACACTTACAGTTGGGCTTTCCGCATTGTTGGTACGCTATTGTAGCGTTGCATAGCAGATTGTGTTGGTCCATTGACGGTAAACCAAGTGCAGGTGATAGATAGAAATATCCACCAGAAGCTGTGCCTCTCGAATGGGCTCAAAGATGTACTGAAAAGAGAGTTGATAAGATGATACTCCATCGAGGGATGACCACAGACCACAGACCACAAAAAAAAACTCTGAAGCCGTCAGTGAAGATAATGCTATCTCACTTGAAGAACTCGGTTCGATTGTATTCTTGGGCAATGTTCCAAACTTGCTGGAAACCTCCAACATCCACAACACCGTATATTATGACGGCCAGAATACCAGCTAACATGAGGAATATTTGTATGGCGTCAGTCCAGACCACGGCCTTCAGGCCACCCTATCAAGAGAAAAGAAGCCTCATGGATATACTGCTCCGCTCAGCACACTTCCTGTCTGTCTTTTCTTACAGATTGGGTCAAAATATTTGCCCGAAGTTTTCTTATCTCTGATTTCCACCGATATGTAGAAATCGCCCCGAAATAATTCAGCAATAATTTCCTATTCTCATGTATGTGAAAGGGGTTTCACCGTAGGACTGCCTCCATTTTGGTATTAATTTCCCAAAGTTACTAAGTAGGCCAAATACCATCGAATCTTGACATATTTCAGAGGTAAACGTAGTTGGTTTTTTTATGCACTTGATTATCTGTATTTGAACAGACGAGATTATATGAAAACTTCTCTAAACAAAATTTTAAAAACTGAAGACAAGATGGGCTACAGGTTGCGTTTTTGCAAAAGTGCATAAAAATCACTAGCTTGAAAAGATGTATAAATCTCGCAACTATGTATGTAAATGATAATATTGTCCAATAGACGCTGAACTATTTCATTTTAGTACATAGGAGATAATAAAAAAATAGACTTAATGAGAAGTGAATGCTTTCAAGGCAACGGCGGTTCAAATGTAAGCTGTTGCCTTCATGAAGCTTACACTTAAGTCTGACCCATCCTTATCCTCATTGCGACTTATTTCTCCAAAACAGGTGGTTCAGGAAATAACTCACGATGGCAGTGTAGACGGTGCACAATCCGCCGCAAACGGCAATACCGATCCATTCGGGAAAATCAGTGACCGAGCTTACGGCAATGACCGGAGCGTACAGCCCGAGTCCCATGTATAAGGTGGTCCCAAGAATATACAATAACGTCCCTGTCCATCGCATCAGCTTCGACTCGAATCTCATCTCCAGGTACTGAAATATTAAATTCCTCGATCGAACTCATGAAAGCCATTAAAGCTAGTGATTCAGGATGATTTCTTCAGTGTTCAAAAAAGACGTACCGTATAAAGGCTCGCGAACTTCGGTGGGTGCAGGACGGGGACGAAGACCAGAGTTGCCAATACTGTACCTACGGTATACCCTACTATTTGCATCCACCACTCACTCCCATTTGCATAGATCTCTGCCGGAGTTCCTACAAAAGGAAAAATGCAGTCTCCGTTATTCAAAATCTCAGGACTCTTCAAGTGAACATCTTAAACTTTTAATATTCCAACCGTAATAAAACGTGAGGTACAACAGGTTTGGAACGTATCAGGAACCTATACGTCTTATTTACAACCTCGGATATTTTGGATGCTGGCATAGCGACAAATGTTGAACCTAGAAGTTCATTTGCATTTTTGCTGAAGTTAGGACTTGTAGGCGTAGAGAGTTAGCACGAAGGAGTTACAGTTTCCCTGCCAAAGTCAACAAATATAAATGTTTCAATGTTCCAAGTTTTTTGAAGTTACTTCATTTCGACATTGGTCTTACCTAAGAGTACGATGGCAGATAGATAAGTTGCTGCCAATGACAGTACGACAGGTGGGAGAGAGAGGCCTTTCGAGGCGACGAGCATCTCCTCTGCCGAGTCCCTGCGCCCCTTCCATGCTTGATACATCCCCACGAGGAGGGTGAGCAACAGAGACCCGAAGAAGAGGACATAATCAACTGCTGACAGGGTCTTCTTCGACGCCATCAGCAACACAGGGTGCTAAGAGGGAAAATAGTTCGGAAAAGAAACCTGGCTGTGTTGAGCAAGGTTTGAGGTTAGGATGCAGCAACTATCACCACCGTCAGTGCGAAGATAGAAGGTTCCGATCCATCAAATGAAGACAGGTGATAGTATCTAATCATAATCCCTGAAAACTCAAGTATCCTTCCCTATCAGAGATATGACTGTTTCAGGTTTTTAAAGGTCTTGCACAACTCGTCACATGACACTTAACGTTAGCACTTGAAATGAAATGCATCTCAGCAGCGTCAGCGGCAACTGGGAAGAAGCATAAAGAAAAGGCGTTCTAAGTTCGAGTGCTCTTCTCTTATCGGAGAACGGGAAATAGAACGGAAACGTAAAGTATGAATCTCGGAAACACGGGAGGCAATTGGTCGGAATTTTTAGCACAAACAATACTATCTGGATACTATCGTAATATCCAAAACTCGAAGCTTTATTCGGGATTAATCAGATCAAATCCCTGAAGGATATTTCTCAAATACCAAACGCTCCAGCCTTCCATTACAATATTCTTCATCTGAGTGAACCATGTTCGCCCGTTCAATATCGAGGAGTATCGCCGTACCGAGATTGACAAATTAGTTAATCATTCGATATAATTAAGTTTTAGTCGATACCAAGGAATGAACAGAAAGGAAAACCAAATCTGGATTGTGAACAACGTTCTAGCTCTATGCCCTCTTCTGGCCTTTCCCACTTTAGTTTCCTCGAAGCAATCAACAACCGGATGCGTGGCTGCGACAATCTGTGTCTGCTACGAGATTATCCAAGGACAAAACATGCACGTGACGTTTTGTCTGCAACGAACTGTCCACGACCGTTTTGGCCGCCACGAAAGCGCCAGTTAGGGACAAATTCAGTTCTGAGTTCTTACTTTTCATTCTTCCCTCCTCGTCGATTCAGAAGGAGCAGATGGACAAAAAGGATTTCCTATTGAGAAGCTTTTCCCTTTGGCAATCAGTTTTGAGAAACAGATTTCATTGATGCACGCTGGAGGACGAGACCTAATGCAATCATCTTGTGGTACCATTACATTGTGTCGCACTCGTATATGGAATTGCATTCTCCCCTTTTTCTTTTCACACCAGGAACCTGTCTCCTCTTTCCTCTACTGACATACAATTGCACCACGTTCGATCTCACGGCAATCCTTCAGATTTTCCCCCCATCGTGCACTATGCATGGATTACACCTTTCTCGGATATCGTTCATAGCTGAGGAGTGACGAATTTCGGACATGGAAATGAAAATTTTCGGAATGTGTCCTCGACAGCTGCAGTCAGTTCTGGTAATGTTCTTGACTTGGCCACATATGCATTGCTAGATCAATTTGCATCTCTCAAAAAATTTTGTCAACTTGGATTATTTTAGAATATTTAGGCTCATGTCGGGTGAATGAGTCCATATGAATCACTCTCAGTCACTCTTAACCGATTTCGAAATCAATATTATTTCGGTATTACACTATCCCATCAGGTAGGCGAGTGGGTTCTGAAAAGCTTAGGCAGGATATGCTCTTTGTAGGTACCGATTCGGAGTCACCCATTTTGGCTTTTTGACCCATTTGCCTTTCATGGCAAAGTCATCTGCCCCTTCTGTCTCTTCCATCGCCTCATCGCGTTCAGTCAGCCCTCGACTGTCGCTCCGCTTTCTGGTCTGAGAATGTCTTTTCCAGGGTGACTGGGATAGTTCGTATCCCGGGGAAGTCCTCCAGCGTTGCAATGCAAGATGCATTGCATGTATGGTTTTTTTTTTACTGCCTTGGTCTGACTGTGAGGGCTGAGGTCCAAATTATCACATCTTTTAAGCTTATCATCCGACAAATATCTGTTATTAAATTACTGTTGCCTATTAGGTTTCTCGAATGTCAAAATTGTCTCCTGCCTTCCCTTAGGGTTCTGAATTCCAATTCATCGTTTTTTGCTTCCGATTGCAAATGGATTTTTACGAATTTGAGTCCCATACCCGACGGGCTAAGCCTATAGCGCAATCAAGTCGCTTAATGAAGCGACTCGACAGACCCGAACTCACTCAGAATGAGTGCTAATGAAATGGAGCAAAAGAGCGTTGGCAGCATTTTGTGAGAATGAAGTGGGCTATGTGTTAGCTTATTCGTAAACGCTTATGTTGTCTCCACGTGAACCCACCGATCGCATTGATTTGAGGCGTGCGATGAAGGCCGAAGATGGACCAACACGTCATGAGATTGGAAGAACACTTTCAACCAACGTAGACCCAACCAAAAATGATATTTTGAATTTTTTTGTGAAACGCGGTCGGGGATCAGAACAAATTTTACATCAATAGTGTGTCCTGAGGCCCGCATTGAACTCTAGAATAACAAAGAATGACAAATAATAACAAAGAATTCAAGCCTGTGCAAAAAGCAAGGCAAAAGAAGAAACCACGGTCGTCTCCTTCATCTCCGCTTTCAATTTTAATTCAAACTAAAAATGCTATTCTTGATGCAGCAATGAACCGTTGAAGAGCCACGTTTTGGGGACTTCAGAGGACTGCTCTCCCATCATTATCATCGGAGACGAAGCCGTTGATCTTTATGACTGAGCAACTAATATTTTGAATTTCCGAGCTGTTGAGTCCATTCTCAACCCGGAAATCGTGTGAGTCCGAGGACACACATCCGGATGGAAGGCTAGGGTGCAGCAAATCTCTTCTCACTCCTCTCGTAGATCCGCATCCTTAAAATGGGAAAAGTGAAGCCAGCATGGCCATTCGGTTAGTCTTAGGAAGTCCGAGTGGAACAATTTGTAGGTTTTCTCACCTGTCAACAGGCTAACGATGACGGTAACGACGACTCCGACGATAAGCCCGGAGGGAAAAACCCATAGATATGACACGTAATAGAATTTTGAGAATCCCAACCTATGGAAGATCGACCATAATTACTCCAGAATGCAAGAATGCAGGTAGGAAGAGTTTCACATAAAGTAATTTCTGGAAGTAAATTTCGCATAGAACCATAGCTGTGAACATTCGCACAGATCCATCTCACAATTGTTGGTGCCTGCTGCATTGAAAGAAACGTGGGGGGGGGGGAGGAAAAGTAGTTCTTCATTCGATTCATTCCACCAGGATTCCACACCCCCCCTCCCCCCCACTTCCAGAACAAACACATTACAAAGTACTTATAATCGCCATGAAACGAGAGAGAGTGTGGCTTAGTCTAAAAAAAAGTGATGCCGTGTTCAACTGATGAGATGCAATCTTCATGGGTCAAACATTCGCATTGTTTCACTTATTTTAAGTAAGCAACTTCTAAGCTACAATTCTAGAAATTTTCATGCTTTTCTTGTGAATTGTATCGTACTTTGAGCTTTTGCGCTGCTTCCACTATGTGGGAGTTCCTTTCTTCCCCCAAAACTTCCATTGTCCCACGTTTCCCAAGGTTGATGACTGACTGATGCTAAGGTAAAAACCTTGGTGTTAGAGAGTTGGGCAGAATTGCGCAGTAAATCTCTTGTGCGCCAAATAAAAATATAACAAGAGTGGTTGCACGAATTCATAGCCCTTCTATCCTTTCTGTTTGCTTTTTTTCCTAGAGGATTATAAGTAATAAAAAGCATTCGCCTATGGTTAGTTTAGCTTACAGGAAAATATTTTCGTCTGTGTCAGCTACGTGCAGGACAAATTTTGGTTCCCTCACCACCAGCTTTACGTGATTTTGAGAACATTCGCCAAAAAATGCTTTTTTGAAACACTATTTCCTTGCGAAAATCCAGTAAATTACTCTCACTCGTCGAGGTTAGGCGAAGGTGGAGGAGGTTTTATGGTCACGTTGAAATCGCAGCCACGCACGGATGAGTCCAATGGAATGGGGCCAGGGACTCCCATTATGTAAGATCCAAACCCGAGCCAAGACGTCATCGCCAGAGACGCGATCACGCCGGCAAAAGCACCCTGGACATATTTTTTCTCATATTCGAACTTGCAGGGAAGCTGCAACTCCGATTCATAACCATCATTCAGGAAAAGCCATGGAAAAAAAAGAGATTGATCGCTAGGAATCTGCAAGAGAAGCTTAGAAATACATTCCAAATGCGCGGAGTTTCCTCCCTCCATACGTGCTTGTTGACAAATGGGAAGAGGACAGCCGTGAGGAAGAGAGCCAGAGTTGGTCCCGATGTGACGGCAGTGACAGTCACGACCATTTGCATTATCCCGCCGCCCAATTGACCAGCCATGAAAGCCAAGGCCATCGTCACCAATCCACTCCCGGTTGCTATGGGAGAGCATCCACAGTACAGAGACTGTACTGTACTGTGCATAAGTAGACACACACTGAGATCCAGATAGGCCTTCCCAGTCCAACAAGTACATATCAGAGGACGGAAGGTATTAACCATACTCAATTGTCATCAGCGCTGTGTGGATCCAGAATAAACAAGTTTTCTTTTCAATATGGGTGTCTATTTACATATGTCAAGTCTCGATACTGTAAGGAAAGGCTTCAAAGCGATCCAGTTGGATAAGCTGCTCACCGATAAGCTTGGTATATGTCGCTGTCTGTTTAGCATTGAGATGCTTCCCAAACCTGGTTTGTCGAATGGTCTCGAGGATCACAGCTGCTACAGAGTTCATTCCTGAAGACAGGGTGCTGCAATGATGTGATACTCGTGAGACGCCTATTTCTACACTCCTACATCAGTTTCGGCGTCATTTAGAATATCTCCTACCTGAGGGCACCGGCAAACAAGCATGCCAAGAACACTCCCGGGAGACCCACGAGGTGTCCCAACTTGTCCATGACGAAGAAGGGGATGATTTCGTCTTTTTTCTGAATGAGGCCTGCTTTCAGAGGGTCGCACTCTTCGTAACTGGCGAAAGCAACCACTCCTGACAGACAGGACAGGGAGATGAGCCCAACACCGATTGGAACAGCGAGCAAGACCGACCTATGGTGACCAAGTTGGAGAGGCTCGAATTCGGCACTTGATGACAAGAGGGAGGGGGGGGAGGGAGGATGGCATGGCTAAATTCGGGACTATCCCATAGAATGCGGGATGATTAGTCACTCTAAGGAGACCTCGAGAGAATAGAGAGGTTTTTATCCATATGTTAGTGATCGATCATACCTAAGTCTAAGAATAATACTTACAGCTGGGCTTTTCGCATTGTATGTAAGCTGTTGTAGCGTTGCATGGCGGATTGTGTAGCCCCGTTCATGGTTAACCAGCTGCAGGTTAGAGATAAGAATATCCACCAGAAGCTGTGTCTCTCGAATGGACTCAAAGATGTACTGAAAGAGAGTTGACGAGATGGACCTCCAAGGAGAGAAGACCACAGAAGGCGGGGAGAAAAAAAGCCCCAAATTCGTGAGTAGAGAAGATACAATCTCACTTGAAGAACTCGGTTCGGTTATATTGTTCGGCAATGCTCCAAACCTGCTGAAAACCTCCAACATCCACAACACCGTATATTATGACGGCCAAAACACCGGCTAACATGAGGAATATTTGTAAGGCGTCGGTCCAGACCACAGCCTTCAAGCCACCCTATAAAGAGGAAAGAAGCCTTGAAGAATTACATGCAATCTTGTCCGCCTCTTAAATGAAGAGTGGACCGAAGTTCACTAACGAATCATTTAATTAAATTATGTAGAACACCCATTCACACCTTCCCACCCACCCACCTCTCTCCCCGAAGATTAGCCGACTTTCCCAGCTATAGGCTGCCATAGACCAACGAAAATTCTTGACTGGGTCCCTTCCTTCTTTTTCATAACTTAACGGACAAATTTATGAGCAAGCTTTTCGCAACAAACTTTGCACAAGTTGGGGTACTGCCTTCTCTGGGACACGTGTATCTGCGAAAGTGAATAAAACTCCCATGAATCTCCGTTCCGTCGGACTTCACGTTAATAAAAGGAAGAAGACGACTATATTGAGTCCGGTTGATATACTGTTACGCTTAATAAATGGAGGGGAGTCCTAAGAACATATTTAACATGTTTTCAAATCACTTTTGAGATCGTTTACTACTACTAAATTATGGCAATTCAGCTGCGAGCTATAGTCTGGAAGCAACTTAAAAAAAAGACCTAAAGTCATTTTGGTTCACATTCATATTCGCACAACTCAGTTTTTCGGAACATTCAGTTTGGGAAAGAACTCACGACGGCAGTGTAGACGGTGCACATGCTGCCACAAACGGCAATACCGACCCATTCGGGGAAGTCGGTGACCGAGCTTACGGCAATGACTGGGGCGTACAACCCGACTCCCATGTAGAGGGTGGTCCCAAAAAGATACAATAGCGTTCCCGTCCATCGCATCAGCTTCGATTCGAATCGCATCTCCAGGTACTGGAACAGTAGGTTCCTAGACCGAACTCATGAAAGCTGTGCAGTTCGCCCTGACCGAACTCATGAACGCCATTAAAGCCAGAGATTCCGGCCGATTTCTTCAGTGTTCTGAAAAGACGTACTGAGAAGAGGCTCGTGAGTCTGAGCGAATGCAGAACAGGTACGAAGATCAAAGCCGCCAACGTTGTACCAAAGGCATACCCGAATATCTGCGTCCACCACGTACTCCCATTTGCATAGATCTCTGCTGGGGTTCCTGTGAAAGAAAAAATACAATTTCCATTGTTCAATTCACATACCCCTGTGCTCAGGGAAGATATCGGCAGTAATAAAGTTCCTTGCCATTTTAAGAAAGTTAGTGTTGCTCAGTCCGACAGTAGTGTCGGTACGGGCAAGATACAGGAGGAAAAGTTGCGATGGCTTTAAATATGTGGATTGTTGACAGAAGTGGGAATAAAGAAAATCATATTCATTTTTTCATATTCCACCGAAAATAAATAGGGCACTCTGATATTTTAACTTTCCCTCATGTGATGGAATCCTGTGGAAAACATTCATGAATCGATTCGCACATACTTCACTCATCATTCACGAGGTTCTCGTCCTGGAGCAGTGGATCCGTTATGTTTGAGGTTCCTTTGACATTGCGATTTGGAAAGTTTCTTAAGCAAAAACAACTGAGAATAGGACAGAGCAGGGAAAATTCGGGAAAGGATCAAGTTTTACCGTGACAAAGTAGTTACAGAGTACGATCAATTTTTCAACGTACGCGTACTTTAGAGGCAACTTGAGCCCAGCATTTATCTCACCTAGTAGAATGATAGCAGATATATACGTTGCAGCCAAGGAAAGAACGATGGGCGGGAGAGAGAGGCCCTTCGAGACGACGACCATCTCCTCCGCCGAGTCCCTGCGCCCCTTCCATGCTTGATACATCCCCACGAGGAGGGTGAGCAACAGAGACCCGAAGAAGAGGACATAATCAACTGCTGACAGGGTCTTCTTCGACACCATCCTCGATGCGTAGTCGAAGAGGAAACGAGGAAAACGTTCGGTGAGATCGGCTCTGCGCGAGAGCTCAGCGCATGGACGACGTTGGTATGAAGATATATGGTCCCGTTTCATCGGATGAGATGAGATGAGGAATTTACGATGGGTATTCCCAATCCCTGCAAACTCGACAATCCTGCCTTATCGGAGATACATTCCTGAGGACGCTCTCACAGAAGTCATTTAAGATTTCTCTACAAGCACTTGAGATACATAGGGTCGATTTGTTGAACGAGAGAAAAGTTCCGGAGTAATTTTTTTATTATCTAAAACCAATATTACATTGCTCACCAAGCAGAATAGGAGGAAGGTTAATCTTCAAGTGGCGGAACTCGTTGGTTAACGAACAGGGTGTAGTTTTCAAATGAGCCTGTGTGCTTTCACTAGAGGAGCATACCACAAAATTATTATTTTATCATTTTCATTTATTTTGGAAAGCTGTAAATGTGTGCTCAATTGCTGAAAAAAAAATCAGCGCGATTATCTCATAAAGTTGTCGCAGTCAAGATGCCTACAACTACTCTCATCGTATTTTGCTTTCTCTCAATTGAGCGAAGTTTGGCGGCTTACTCTTGGCGGCTCATGATGAATAATGGTGCAGGCAGAATTGAGAGTCCCTTGATTCTGAATTCGGTACTTTTCACGTAAGAAAATGAATAGTCCCCATACAGGATAGAGACACATTTCTCACTCGATATGGCTTTCACTCACGCACACGTGATGCTTCCCCTACCGAGGACAAAATTTTTGTATGCACTCTGGCCCGACGCCTCGCGACCTTGAGATACGAACGTAAGGTACGCTGAAGCGGGATGAGTTCGATTGACGTGCATGGGGATGGAGTTGGCCTTGAGTTGATGAATGTAGGAACTCGCGTGACAAGAGATCATGGTCCCTGTTAACGATCAGTCGAGTGTCAGCCTCACCCGCTGCAGTCGGATGTGATTCTGACCGAAGGACTCCGTGAATCCGGTCGCTTCTTCCTCGCACGCAGCGAACTTCCTCTTTGGATCCGTTTTCGCCGCTCGCCGGGAGGGGCAGCTCCGCGCCGATGTGAGTTTCGTGGCTCCCGCGGCCCGATGCGGGCGCATTCGTGCAGTCCGCCCTTCGAGTGCGTCGTGACGTGGCGGGGGGGGGGGGGGGGGGGGGGGGGGGGGAGATCTGTTGCTCACCCTCCTCGTGGGGATGTATCAAGCATGGAAGGGGCGCAGGGACTCGGCGGAGGAGATGGTCGTCGTCTCGAAGGGCCTCTCTCTCCCGCCCATCGTTCTTTCCTTGGCTGCAACGAGAGAAAAAGGGATGCAAAAAAAAAGTGTCGGAATGGGTGGTGGAATGGGAAAGAAGGGGAAAATGAATCTGGCTGACGAGGTGCCTATGGACCTTCGTTTAACGTTTTCAATATATGCAATCATTCAACAGCGTGCTCCCAGTACGTCGCCAAATGAAAACCTTCGCCTTTTACTGTTGAAGTTAAAGGGATCAAAGCTGTAAGAAACTAGAACGATAAAAATCCTGTAAGAAGGAGAGATGAGAGGTCGTGTTCCCTAGAGAACTCTGCCGTGATGAATTAAAAGGGAGAAAAAAAGACTTAGAGGCGTTAATATCTCTATGGATGCAATGCTCGCGAAAAATTCCAGAAGTCCCCAATTCAGACCCCAATTTCTCTCTACGTCTTGATTACGTAACGATCATACTTTGAGGCGCCAGGAGGTGACGCTTTGAACAACATCACCTCAGACCGTAGGACTGAGTGAGCTCGAAGCCAGCATAAGGAATGGAAGCCCATTGCTGACGCCGCCAATTGCTTCGAAGCTATTGGCGACTGTGGATCCGCAGTCGTGAAGAAACCGCGGGAAAGATGCCCGTCACTCTGGAGTCATGCTTTTTTTTTTGCCTTCCAAGACCTGTGGCCTGCTTATAGCTCTGGTTTCGAGCATTCTTTGCTGCATGAAGTGTCGATCATGAATGGGGGAGTCGAGTGAGCTCTTCTTTCCGGTTGAAATCGGAAAAATATTTCCACCATATTTTTAGCAGTTCGTGCGCTAATACATGTTTTGCAGCAGAACTACGAAGAGCTCTTCAGAAAGCAAATCGCATCTGCATAAAAATAAATAGCTTTTAACAGTTATAATATTCAAGTATTTACTAATACTAAAATATAAAATTCTATTCTCATTCCACTCGATGTCTGTGACTCTTCCAGCAGGCACACGATCACACGGTACGCTATATATCATCGTAACGAGAGTGACAGGACTCAAGCACGATCCAAGTGCGAAGTAAATGCATCCTGAGTATCGAGACCGACCCGGAAAGAGGAGACAAAAAACGGGGCGAGACTCGACCGAGGGAAGAGGCCTTAAAACCACTCCGTCCGCGTGATAAAGGCGTGCGATAAAAGCTGGGATCCGGGGAACGCGGTTCGCGACCGATTCGTGCTGGGAGCGTGAATCGGTCGCGAACCGCGTGGGTTCCCCGGCGGTCGGAGTCTGGACAACGGATGATACATCTTCCAGTTTTTGATACGATATGCATTCCCCCCTGAGACCGATTAGTCCTCGTCGATTATTTCTGAAAGAAGTGGTTATCCCTCTCGGGAAGCACCTTCCACATGCAAGAACCCTGTCATCCGATGGAGTGCAGCTGCGTAATTTCACTGGAAGGGGATATATGGGTGGTCCACGCGTTGTTCATCGCTCGTTCGTTGCGCCTTCTTTTATTTAAGAGGCCAGACCCTCGTCGAGATCCCGATCTGCGATCCAAATTAGACGCCTTCACGGTAAGACGCTGCGGTATGCGATGCATTTTCCGGTAGGGACTTCGGTGATACCGACGAGGAGCGGATGGGAGGGGAGGGCGGTGGTTGTAATATCGTCACATCTCACATCTTCATAATACACGATGAAGGTATTGGGTGCTCAGGCACACTAACACGTGTGAACCTATGGCACAGTCAAGGACCAAGTCGAACCCAGAAATGACGGATCTAGGTCCATGAGTCCGGATTAAATGCACTCCTGTGACCTCCAGGAGGGCTTCGGTTTTCCTCAGGCGGTGGGCGTCATCGTGGATGAAGATGGGGGGGGGGGGGGGGGGGGGGGGGGGGGGAAAANGGGGGGGGGGGGGGGGGGGGGGGTTGGAGATAGTTTAAAAAGTAAATTTTTTAACCCTAGAAGCGACAACTGCCGATCAATCGACAGTTCACCCATCACAGGGTTTAAACCTTGCCGCTTCTAGGGTTAAATTTAGAAATGAGTCTTGGAATGACGACGTGGCGGCGATGCGATTATGGGCGGGGTCCTACGGTTTCCATACCGTGGTGGCGGTACGAAAATGGGCGGTATCCCGCAGTTTCCATGCCGTGGCGTATCGATAAATGTAGAAGGGGTCGGTATGATTACCACGAGTATCGAATATTGCGGTACGATGAAAATACCAGTACACCGCAACGTGTTACTTCATAGAATAATGGAAGAATAGACACTCTTCTAACTTCCTATATTAGAACAATGGATATTCTTCTAACCACAGCATTTCAATACAATTATATTGAAAATTTAAGGAAATCGATCTTTCTCTTTCCGCCATTTTCAAAGATGGTAAGAGGCAACCGCCCCCCCCCCCCCTATAGGAGGGGGGGGGCCCCTCCTATTGGTGCGCCCATGCCGCCCGATCGCGTTACGCGAAATCGCAGCTAACAGCACGCAGATGGATTCAAAGAAGGAGCGCCTTGGATGCGGCTTTACCTTTTTCAGAAGCATGGAAAGCTTTCGTTTTCGCGCAATTGAGGCCTATTGCAATCATGAGACGTGAAGTGATGTGAACGGAGGAAGAAAAAATCAGATCGTGGCATCAATGCACAGAATCCATTTGCTCTCGGCCCTTCGCGAGATACGATATTCTATCATCGCTTCGTGGATCGGTATCGTTCCTGAAGATCTCTCGAAAAACCCGCAGGGTTCGACGCTCCCCCACGGCTTTTGCCGACGTTCGGCGTCGTTTTTACCGGTCGAACGGGAAACGCGATTCGTCTCACCCGAGAAGTCGCGGCGCAGACACGACAGATTCGTGTTTTTGGTCCCTACAATCCCGACAGCGACGATCTGGAAATGGATCTCACAAATAGATTGGCTCGAGTCTCGCACACCGAGATGGAACTGGATCGGAATACATCGTATAGGCGCTGTGCAGAGTCCTTGAAAAGTAATTGCATGGGAAATAAAGCTTCATTACGACAAAATTAAAGGGTATAACCGGGTGAAATTAAACATGCAGAAAGTGTGCTCTTTGGAAACATAAAGAACTTGAACGGCAAACCTTTTCAACAACTTTTCCCTCGTGAAAAAAAAATTAAAGAAACTATATATTTTTTAAAAGTCGCAATGCGACCAGGCGTGGCAAATTGAACCAGTAAGAAATCCAAACCTGATTCCTTGTGTCGTTTTCCCCTGGGATTTCTCAAGAAAGTTTACCAAAGTAATCCCAAACATTTGAACGATCTGGAAATGACAAGTTGCTGGAAGTTGCCTAGACAACCAGGCAATATGATCCACGCTGCCGTCTCCAGCGTTGCGAAACCGCTGTCCATCCTTACTCGGCAATTCTTTGGATTTTCTTTATTTTTTTTTGTTGAAAAAAATGGTAGGATTTTCCGCTTATGTGCGCCATACGTTTCCGAATGGTATTATTTCTCCATAGTAAATTTAATCGAGTTATACCTCATACTTTGTTCTCAATAAAGCATCTTCAATTTGTCGTTCCTTTACAATAGCCCTCTTTGAAATTGTGTACCAAAGCATTCTTTCTGTCTGTTTTTCGCGACTCACCTCGCAACATACGCGAGAGGTTCACTGTAGAAAAGTAACCTTTGCATCGATTCATCATTGTTTCGAGACAGTCGCTGCAGTTTCCGCCCCAAGGCTCGTGGAGACGTACCCCCTCTCGCCGTTCGAGTGCCGAGGGACAAATCGATGTGCACGGCGCACTTCACCGATTCCCATCTACCTACCTCGATTGGCTTTCTCCGAGCAGGGAGGGCTGCAAGAAGTGAAACGAGCCCGTGGTCATGGAGAAGAAATCCCTGTCGGTGACCGACTATGCCCTCTTCGTCGGATCCCTACTGCTGGCTCTCCTCATCGGAGTGTACCAAGCGTGGAAAGGAAGGAAGGACACGGCCAAGGAGCTCGTGGTGGCCTCCAAGGGGCTGTCCCTGACTCCCATCACTCTGTCCCTCGTCGCCACTTACCTCTCGGCCGTTCTGCTGCTCGGTATGACGCTTCTGCGCGTCCGCTCGTCTCGCGGATTCGATGCCGGGAAGGTTTCTGTTGGATTTAAAAAAAAATTTTTTTCCTTCTCTATGTCTCATGTCACCGTCATTCATTCCGTCGATGACATGCAGGGTTGGGCTAAAGTCACGCTCCACAGGAAGGAATTTTTTTTTTTTGGCACAAGTTCTGAATGCATTCATCATAGGCGAGGCACATTTGCGCATGAAGCTTCTTTGAAGCTACGCTCCAATCTCTTTCTCAATTGCTTTGTTTTTCAGCCACCTACAGCAGTGGTTCGCAACCTTTTTTTTATGTGCGGCACACCTAAGCCTTACTTGCAGCCAACTGTTCGCAACTGGTGTGCCGCGGCACACCAGTTGCGAACCACCGACCACGGATTAACAAGGATTAACCACCGTACAAGGATTAACTGCAGCTGTAGAAACATGTAAACACTGTGATTATTCCTATGAAGCGCGATTTTTGTCCAACCCTGTACAAGAACGAATAATGAATTCCATGGCTACATTTATCGCACGCAGGAATGTAATTGATGATTTTTCGTCACTCTGACTCATATTCTGCAGCGCTCATTTCGTAGAATGAGCCATCGATAGCACACGCCAACTAAAGTGTAGGAGCTTTTGCACTCACTTGACAATTGCACAGGCATTTTATACGACGATATGTTCAAAGGTACGCCGGCTGAAATCTATGCCAATGGGACGGAATGGTGGGTGCAGATCATCGGGTATTGCATCGGGATCCCCTTGGCCACGGTCGTCTTCCTGCCCATCTTCTATCCTCTCAAGCCGACGAGCATTTTCGAGGTCAGTCGCCCGTGCGGTTGCCGTGCGGCTCGCTTTGCTGCGACCGAACGCCTCGAACCTCTGCCCGTTTTGCAGTACTTCGAGCTGAGGTACAGGTCCAAGATGGTGCGGACCTTCGCGAGTCTCCTGTTCGTGCTTCAGATGACCCTCTACATGGGCGTGGCGTTGTACGCTCCCGTGGTTGCCGTGAGCGCGGTGACCACCATCCCGGAGTGGGTCGCCATCGTGCTGGCCGGGACCATTTGCACGTTCTACACTGCCATCGTGAGCTCGCTTGCACCGTCGTGTCGATGTGGATTCGCTTCGGACGTTTGCAGATTCGATTTTTTTTTTAATGCACCCGAAACGCGGACCAAATTCTACGAACTCGATTCGAAAAGAACAAAAGGGCAAATGAAAATATGTTCGGAGTCGATCCGCATTCATTGTACCATTTGGGACTCATGGACCCTCGCATCGACGTCTCTCTCTCTCTCTCTTCAGGGCGGCATCAAAGCCGTGGTGTGGACGGACGTCTTCCAAGTCTGCATCATGCTCGGCGGCATGCTCGTCATCATCATTTACGGGACGGTTCTCGTCGGCGGGATTCACGAGGTCTGGCGGATCAACGCGGAATATCAACGAATCACGTTCTTCAAGTCGGTCACATCTCTGCGACGAGACAAAATGCGTATCGAGGAGTTTCCCTGTATCGATGCTCGTTCCTCAGTTTCTCAGGTGACGTCTTCGAGCGGCACACGTTCTGGTGGCTCGTGAGCAACACGACCGTCATGTGGATGCTGGCCCACGGGGCCAATCAGGCGTCGGTTCAACGTTACTGCAGTCTGCCGACGAAACGTCAGGCCCAATGGTACGGTAAGGGGTGTGAATAAAATATTTGCCACCACGTGGGTAGGTAATTGGAAGAATGGTAATAAAAAAAATACATTTAGGGAATGAAAATAATTTTTTTTAAATACTAGTTTCTCAACGTGATACAGAACTTGGTGTTTCCTCCGTTGGTGTCACCAACTGCTTTGAATCGAGCCGGATGTGAACGTTGTACCTTCCCCATGAACAACTTCCTAGGCAGTCCCACTGTAAAGTGTTTGACAAGTAAAGTGCTATCGTTATGCCAGTCATATGAAATTCACAAGTATCTGAAACTAGGAGGAAAGTCTTGTCTTGACTTTCGAAGTACACTTGCGGGAAACTTTCTCTTGTGTGATCTTTATAGTGAGTAAAATGCATTATTTGACATTCGGTAAAGACCCAGTTCACCCATCCTGCGAGGATTCTAGTGTTCTACAACTATGAAAAATTGTTCTATGGTCCTGACTGTTTCATGATAGGGCTTTGCTCCTGAACGTCCCCGGGGTCGTGGTCTTGGTGAGCCTGGCCTGCTCCGCCGGCGTCGTCGTGTTCGCCAACTACGCCTCTTGCGATCCGTTGCGAGCGGGAATAATCAATAAAAAGGACGAGATAATCCCCTATTTTGTCACCGACAAATTGGGCCACTTCACGGGCCTCCCAGGTGTTTTCCTCGCGTGCCTCTTTAGTGGAGCCCTCAGGTATCGATTGCATGCGTTCTGTCTCCGGATTGCCTGAGATGCCAGCTCGGTCAGTCTGACCGTCGCAGTCGCTTTCCTTCAGCACGCTTTCGTCTGGCTTGAATTCCTTGGCTGCCGTCACGTGGGAGGACGGGGTGAGGCAGTTCCGATGGGGAAGAAAATTGAACGAATCTAAATCGGCTTTACTCACCAAATCCCTCGGTAGGTGGCATTACGAGGTTCGATTTAACTCGATGTCTCGTGAGGCAACAATTACATCGATCTGAATATGGCAGCGGCTTTGTACGGAGTTATAGCCATTTCCCTGGCCCTCCTGGCTGGAAGGTTGGGCGGTGTCCTGCAAGTGTGCGCCACGGTGACGTCTACCATCGGTGCCCCTATTCTCGTCCTCTTCCTCACCTCCGTCCTCTTCCCGTTCGTGAATAAAAAGGTGAGAAATCTGTTGTTTTTCATCGGGCCGGAGGAACCCACGAACACCTAGGGTGACACCGGGCGACTTCGCAGGGCGCAGTCTCGGGTACCCTGGTGGCGCTGGTCGTGGCATGCTGGATAGGCTTTGGATCCTTCATCGTCGGAGTCCCCAGGCCCAAACAGTTGCCTTCCTCCGTGATGGGCTGCGCTGCCGATCTGAACATCACATTGGTGGCGTTCGAGGAAGCGGGAGCTGCCTTCCAGTGCGTCTCTCCCCCGTCTTCCATCAGCTGTTTCATCGCCGTATCAATTGACTCTTTCTTGCCGCGTCGCTAGGGTGGAGGGGTCGACGGTGAGGAGCGTCTTCCACATCTCTTATCTGCTATACTTGCACATGGGGCTCATCTCCGGCACTGTTGTTACCATCGTCATCAGCTTGCTAACAGGTCACTCGGATTCTGCTTTCCTCGATCAGTTCACTTGCATTTTGTCCGTCTTCCCCCTCGGTGATGTGGAATGTAATGCTCGTTCAGGTTGTAACAAGGAGGAAGAAGTCCCTGCTGGGCTCGTCCTGGAAGGGTGCCGCAAACTCTTTGGCTGCTGTGAGTCAGCAGAGAGGGAGCCGCATACCTTAAACCTGAGGATTAGGCACACGACGATCACAAGCAATTTGGACTCCTGCTCGACCATAAGCACACAATTCTTCCCCGACAGCTCCCAACCGATGTGATGATGTTCACCATCCCCTCATTCGCATGCTGCTGACGGGGCTGTGTACAGTGTGACCTGGTCGATGAATTTCTTTCTTCAAGACGTGAATTGCTTTCTTAGAAAGCGCTGATGGGATATTCTGTATGCATCCCAGTGGCAGGATATTCTGCGTGCATATGTGAATTGCTGAGAAACTTGGCCGATATAAAGTGCCTTCTTAGAGAGGGAGACGTCTCATTATGCTTCATAACTCGATTTGATGACGTACTGTACACTAAATCAGGATGCAAGATGGGCTCGATAGGGGGCCAAGACATGATCTCCGCGAGTAATCCGAACATCGAATGACTCTTTGCCTCGAGCCAGGACCCTGAGCATAACGAAAATAATATATGGCGAAAAATAACGGCAAAATTTCAGTAACGGTAACAAAACGACACGAAGATCTCACGGAGACTGTTGAACTGATGGAAAAATGAACGAAATCCTCACTTCACTGATAATCTTTTCCCATTACACTTCATGTCATATTAAGTAACCTCCACCCTCGAAGTTGGGAAGTTACGAAGACTTTCATAATAAGTTAGCAAATAATTTTGGCACAATGATTTGGTTTAGTCGAACGCATATTCTGACCCTGTCGCCTCTGACCTCGAATTCGCCTAGCAAGGCCATATTCCTCCTTCAACTACATTCCTTCTCTTGTGCGCACCAGCTCTTCTGTTCATTCGCTGGATTCTTGAAGAAGTCAAGGCGACTTCAAGGGTAGTAAGATATAATTTTTTTTTATTCCCTGAGACCAAGATTGATTCTAACTCACCTAAGCTTGACAGTATTCTATGGCTTCAATGAGACGACGCTCGTCACTCGACATTTCTGGTTCTACGATATTATTCATGTTCTGGCTGGTGTTCATCCGACATCTACCAACATAGAATGCCACCTGCATTTCCACCATTCACTATTACTGGTTTTTGGCATTTTTAAATAATCATTCCGACGTACACCAATGAGAAAGATGTTCACAAACTGTGAAGTAAATTAAGCACAATGAGTGTAAGTGTGAACACATTTTCAAATGTGCTCACACATCTGAGCTCCAGATGCAACCTCACGCTATTTATTTTGCAGCATCTCAGCACTTATGGTACCAAGAATTTCAGTTACATCCCAGCGTAAGTATTGCACATTAACTGCGTCAATTTGGACTAGAAAAACGTGCACCATCCTGGAAGCCTCAAAAATAATACAGGTTGATTTAACCCCTAATGCTTGAAAATAGCTCTGCCTTACTTTACCTGGGTTCAGTTTACCCAAAGTCAGACCCTGGGGTTCATTCAGAACAGGAGAAAAATTACCCATGGTCCTACTGGCCGTCGCCGCCGCGCTCCTCCCCCCTCAGTAGGTGTAATGCTCCAGGTAGTGTAAAGAAGTGAACTCTAGAGAATCTAACAAGGACAACTTTCGTTTCATTATGCCTCTTTTATTTTCTGCAAAGAAAACAATGAATACAAAATTCAAGATGCTTCTCAAACAAAATGGCAATCCATGCCACTTAACTTCACCTTCAACAACCAGAGATAACAAGGGAGAATTTCAATTAAAGAAATACCAATACCAACAGCGATAGAACATTCTCCTAGCAGGAATTCACTGTGTAAAGTTATCAAAACATCACAGGAAGAAGCATTGTTTGACAATGTCAAGGGTGGGACCATGTCTTTTAGACGTAGGGTCTGTGGCCTTGAAGAAGGTCCATATACTTGAGCAGCATAAGCATCAAAGCAGTAGCAAATATCATGTAATTTCACAACCAGGACATCGAGGACAAGAATGTCATTTGGAAATGCATGTGAATTCAACAGGTATATCACAACTGATTTGGAATGTTGGTTTTTTGCATCATTTTGAATGGGATGATCAGCAACACTGCACCAAGGACATAGCACAGGGCAGGTCCAACACTCCAGTAAACTAAAATAATAATAAAAAAAGAGTTCAGCAACTTCTTTACCCTGTAAAAAAGGCATATAGAAAGAGCAATTATGCATTAATTATGGAAGCAATCTTGTTTACCCAGAGAAGCAACCAGTGGGCCAATGGCTCGAGCTAAGGCTCCAAGGCTTCTAAATGTTCCCAAAACAAGACCTCTCTGTCTTTCACCTCCATATCCAGAAACAAGTGTTGTCAGACAAGGAACAACTATTGCAGAGCCTAAAAAGAAAAAAAAAGTGAGTGCATAAATATAATAACTGCGATTTTTGGTGAAGATTGCAAGAAGGTTGAAATATACCAGCAGAAAAGAAGAAGAGGCCAAAATACAGCCATGCAGTGGTGGTGGCTAACCCAATGATGAAGAAAGCAGGAACCATGGACATTAACCCCTGGAAAGAAATGAACATGTTTCACAGAGTACTTATTTTTCTTTACTATTCAGCATGAGAAACTCTCAAACTGAAGAACACAAACACTCACACCATAAGAATAGTAAACCAAAAGTACAAAGGTTTATGGCAAAACTTCATGGAGAAAAAAAGATTGCAGAAACTTGCAGTGAGAGAAAACATCTTCTGCTTCTCTGGAGGAATTCGTCTCACAAAGACACCTTGTAGAAGGGCCATGGTGATGCCAATGAATGCATACATCCTTCCCTGTCTCATGGAGTCAAATGAGAAGTGGATGTGAGTGAGGAATGTGAGGGTGAATTCAAGGCCAGAGAAGAAGAGGAGGTACAGGAAGTAGATCATGCCAATGCGCTTCAAATTTCTCCATTCTAAGTCAAAACAATTCAGCATGATGACATATGACACAATGTATGAGCAAGGATTGAGGATATTTCCTTTCATTCTGACCTTCAGCCTTAAGATCCTTGACAAGGTGGAAAGCAAAGAGAGAGCTGGGATTGATGAAGTGTGCTGCTTGTCCAAGGCTACCAGTCACAGATCCACTCCTCTTCTCCTAGAGAATGGCCAATTATATTCAAGTCAGTTCAGAAATTTCACATCTGTAAGAAAACTTAGAGCAAGAAAGCACATCTCACCAGAGGTAGAGACTCCTCAAAGAAGTACACAACATAGATGATGTCAAGGACCATGAGAATAATGGCAAACCAAGCAGGGTAAATAAACCAGTTGGAAGTACCTTTGGACCACACCACAAATGCTGCACCAATGACAGGTCCCAATGTGAATCCAATTGAGAAGGCCACACCAATTAGGGCCTGAATGCAAGGAGAATGATTCACAGGAAAGGCATGCATTATTGCAGTTCATATTTACCACAATTCTTCCTTTGTTTATACATTCCTACCTGAATATAGCCAAACCTGAATTTGCCAAGACAAAACAGATATACAGATGGATATTAAAGGCAGTCATCTCCAGTGAAGCAATTTTTGAGAAAAGAAGTGTTTCAGGTTTGAGTTTGACATCAATATCTTAGTTAAAACTGTGGCATTTGTTTTGGAGCTTGATGGGGGTGATGAGAGCTGATAATTTTTCTCACACATTCAAATATGCCAGATTTAAGGACCTGCAATCTCAAACTTCTTAAGTTCTGGAGATAGAGGTTTTTTTTCTAGATACCTACTCTAGTCTTAGATAACAAAATGTGTGCCATCCAAAAAAGCCAGTAGTATTTTGAATTTTGGTAACCATGTGATCAGCTACATGACTTGAAACCTAAGAGAAAATAAAAAGGAAATGGGCCTACCATAGCTTTACCCCTGGTCTTCTCAGAAGATAGGTCAGAAACTATAGCTGTAGAGAGGCTGATGTTGCCTTTGCTCAATCCACCAATGATGCGAGCTAAGATGAAAACAGCAAAAGAGTCTGCTGCAGCCCAGAGGGCATAGGAGGCCAGAATTCCAACCTGCAAAAAAAAAAGTAAAATTCCAAATCATTTTTTAATATTCATAGTGAGTCTCCTCCAGCCTAAAATGGAGTTCCCAATGACAGGCAACAGTCGCACAGTCATCTATTTACTCCCAGATACACATATTCAATGATGTGATGCAACATACCATGGTGATGAGAAGGAGAGGCTTCCTGCCATAGATGTCAGACAATCCTCCAACCAGTGGTGATGATAAAAATTGGAGGAAGGAAAATAGGGACCCTATCAACCCTGAGAAGTACAAACCATACCATCTATGCTATGTAAAACCTTCAAAAACTTTCATTGAGAGAACCTTCAGTATAAAAAAAATGAAATTACTAGCAGGGTTTCCAAGTGATTTAAATAATAGTAGAGCAATTAATTTCATTTCATTTTCTTACTAAACTGACTTTTTGGAAGCTTTTTTTTTGTCTCATTTTGGCTTGGTGATCATTTCTTTAAGAGCTGAAATTGAAGCAATTAAATATATTCCTGGAACCTTGGTATGCCCAGGTACTTGAATATTGCTTGTCTTGTTGTGGTTGTACATATAAATTCTGGATAATGTCTGGCCACTCTATGCACTGTTTGGCAATGATTTATGGACTTAGACTTAGACATAGACTTTAGGAGCACTTGGTAACATGTCACTGCTACCAAACAGCTCTTCCTAGATAGCCTTGTAATTGAAGGGCTGAAAGGTAAAGTGGTCTATCCAGAAAAAATTTCCAAAAAAAGTGGTGTTGGTTCTGTTCCTTTCATACTACCTAGTTTACCTAGTTCCTTTCATGACATCCTTTCTGACATTTATCCTTTAACATGATAGTCACTGGAATATTCACTCATTCCATGTGGAGCTCCAGGAAATAATTTTTTGCAGATAGACCACTTTGCCTTTCAGGTTTTCAATTGAGAGTTAACATTCAGCTAATTTTTTCCTTGAAATTTTCCTGATAGAAAAGCCTCTTTTAAAGAAAAATAACTGATTCAAGGGTGAAAAAGATGACAAATGTTAAGGAAAAAAAAAGAAAAATAGGCATCAAGGGGTAATAAAGGTTTCAGGCTACCACTTCCACCTGGACTTGGTAACAGTTACATCCCCAGCTTGAAATTTATTTTTATTTTTTATCTCTTTCTAGTTAAAAGCCATGCTTCCTAAGAAAGAAAGGATATCTCACCTCCAAAGAGCACAGAGTTGAAATTGTCAGGAACTCCAAGAGCCTGTTGGAAGGTCTGAACACTTGCCTTCATGGACGAATACAATGTGCCAGTGTCATGCTTCTCATAGTGATCAAACAACGATGGGAAAAGTGGAAGAATGACAGTAAAGGCCAAGAGATCCAAGACCAATGAAAAGAAAATGACCAAAACGCCTCGTTTTATTTGTCCGTCAGTATTGGACATCTTGCACTGTCTTCAGAGGTGAGAAAAATTCAAGCAAACTCCATTCAAGTCTGAAAACCAGAAGTGGTCAATGGTTTGAGGCATGAAAACAGAGACATATATGAACTTCTTTCTTGAAAGTCCATCTCATGGGAGACCAAAGTAATCCCAAGGTAGAAGTTTGCAATGTGAACCAAAGGTAAACAGCAGGAGCTAGCTATCAACTTCATGAGAAGCACTGGCTCCAAAGGATTTGAACTGTTATAAAACAACCCCCTCCCCCTCTTGCTCCTTTTGTACATAGCCCTCCAATGCAAGCTGTCAGAGAGGATGTGGCCATTGAGCCTGATGATGCTGAATAGCTCCGGTGAAGGGAAATCATTTGTTCCACTCAGGCTTCTGTTCAGCTTTGAACCATGCATTTTGGTCTGGGTTCAGATTCTTGTTCAAGATAATTAAGTGGGTCAATATAGGTTTTGATTTCAGTTTAGGCAACATTCCCTGCAGGAACGGGACAGCTCATCTGCCCCCAAGCTGAAATTTCCAAAATTCTGATGAAATAGACTTTCTTGTACTTGTAATAAACTTGCAATTACAGTCTAAAGACATGAACAGCAGTTCCAGTACCACATAAGAGCAGCAAATCAGGAGATTATCACAAGGTAAACATTTTAAAAACTTTTAACAGAAAAATGTATTTGATATGGCCCCAGAGGCTGTTTCCCAGTCTCTCAATGACATCAATTCTTATCTTCTGTGCAATTCTCAGGCATGTCATTCTTTCATGATGGACTCAGAAGCATGGTTATGTAAACCACAAAAATTTCATATTGAGGATTTCACTATTAAAGTTAGTCCAATGTAAAAAAAATTATTTTCCAAGCACAACCACAAGACAATTCATATCTCTATACACAATTCATATACACTAGTTTTTTTATTATTCAAATGTTTACATAGATGTTTAGTAACAAAATAAGACATTGGCAACATTTGATGCAAATGTCCAAAGAAAAAATAACTGTCAGTTGTAAACTTAGAGACCCCTTAAATGTCTCATTCCTATCAATTGGTGGCAAGAAAATTCAATCCGAGTACTTAACTATGTAGGATCATACTGAATATCTTGACAGGACCCAGGGTTCTCCATTTTGTCTTCCATATTTATTTAATTCCACACACTGTGGGGAATTAGACAGGATGGAGGAGTCTTTCAAGCCTAGTAATTAGCAAATGAAATATATCAACTGCAATGCTTTATTTGGCAGATGATATCGAAACATCACTTTTTTTTCTCCCATGAGATAGAACTTCAGGCTAATTTTAGCATGCAGCTTTTGCCAAGAACTCTGACTAGTGAACAGGGCTCCCTGATATAGGGTGGTTACACCCCACTCTGAATTCCTGATTGAGGCCTTCAGACCAGGGATGTTTTTTTAAGCAGTAATGCTCAAGGAATGCAAAAACTGAAATGACAAATCCCATGTTGAAGATACTATAAATCACTTGAACACCAAAAATATTTCTAAATTCATGAGGCTATGATTTATCTTGCGTATGGGCTGGATTTTACCTCTTGTTATCACTCTGTCTGACTGTTCATCTGCTGTCACCCAAACAAGTTTCTGAAACAGGAGCCACATCATGTCATTTATCATCAAGCCATGGCCAGACATGCTCTAAACATGACTCATAGAGCATGCATACATTGCATGACAAAAAAAAAGCCCCAACTTTTAACAACTACATCCCTCCTCTTACTGGAGCTATTTTTGTAAAACTTACAATATGCAAAAGACTAATATGTTTTCGAGACCATCTTAAAATGTCATGCTTTTCATTAAAAAGGCTGAAATTTTAAATGGAGGGACCCTAGTCCCAGGAGTGCAAACACAATCTCTTGCCAAAATAATATAAACCCTTACCTAATAGTGTTTTGGGACACTACGTGCTACAATAACAGCACATGGTGGCCCAAACAACTTTAACAACTTGGGTTATTCATACTTCTGCCTGTCACAGGTCACTGTGATGCTAAATGATCAACCTATTGCATCCCCTGCATGCTGGGAACATTGATTGTACTTAGCTGGAGGTTACTTTAATTTTTACCAGTGTGTGTAGGCTCTGCCTGTCTCCTCTCCTCCCCTAATAAAGGAGAAATCTATAGATATTTGGAGCTAACTGTTTGAAGCTAAAAGAGTTCAGATAACGGTCCTGTAATGGAGCAAAAAGAGTTCAAGTAGTCAAGAAACATGCATAAAATATTAGGTGGATCAGTTTGACCTGAACTCTGATTCATATCATTTAACGACATGATCTTGAAAATCGACCAAATGGTTTATTTTATTACTTCAGTTCAAACAAAAACGACTACAATCTTTGCAAATAAAGAACAATCAGTGCATTAGTTTATCTTTGGAGACAGTGAGCAAAGTCGTTGACAACTTTCCAAAGAGACTCAAGCAGTGCATCGAAGCAGGAGGTGGCCATTTTGAAAACAAGTAATTCTATTGTAATCCCGAGATTGTAGACTTTGTATTTGTTCTCACTGCTTGCAAAAATTTGGTCATTTTCAAAAAAATTATTTCATTTCATATTTTGTCTGAGTATTTTTCCCATGCCCAGTATTTTCTGATATTTTTGGTTGAATGAGGGTATTTTTTAGGATTTAGTGAAAAATACTCAGCAGTGTATCAAATTGAGATGCTGAGTACTGTAAATTTACAGGGCAAAAGTCGTACTTATGCACAAATTTGATGATGGCTACAAAATGACACAAATTATACCAATCTGCCTGATATTTTAAGGAGTGTTTCCTGACTAATTGAACTCTTTTTATTCAAATTTTTAGGCGGCTTTGTCTCCTGGTTGCCAAGAAACCTACAAATATATAATTGTGTACTTTTTTTCCCAGGCACCCTGTATGTATATGAATGGGGAATATGCTGGAAATAAGTGTCCAAAAATGAAATCAAGCAACCTGAACTTATTAAGACTGGTGCAGAAAAAGGAGTAGAAATATGTTTGTTCAATTTAATTGAACAGCAGACTTGAAAATAGCTAATTTTTATCAAGAAGAAGGGAGACATATCAAAAATATTTTATAAATAGCTACAATGAATCACTGAGATTCAGTTTATTCAGCTGACATGAGCAATTTCACAGGAAATACAAGACTTTGATTTGGAGTGCACATTTATGGCCCACCCTGTATTTCTAATGAAATCAGGGTTAAATGAAGGGTGGCACAAATTCCAAAACAAATAAGAAATTGATGCTATCTGAAATGTGTTGCTGATTATAAGACACAAAAGGAAATGATTCAGAATCACCCACCTGTTCAGATGTTTGCTTGAGCAGCTGACAAGCATCAGACTTGTTTAGGCAGATATCGAAAGAAAAAGTTGAACCCTGAGGAAGTGGTTCAGCATTCAGGCAAGAGTTCATCTTCAGACATGATGCACGGAATGCATACTCTAATTCTGTTAGAAACCTGTCTCTATGGCAGGTAAGAGATTCAATTAAGAATTAATACAAGCAATTCAATCATACAAAAAAGTGATCTCTGCAGGAAACTCACTCATCACATGATACTTCATCATGTCCTGCATGATAAATCTTGATGATGAATTCCTCTTTCAGAATCCCTTCTGGAGATATCATCCTCACACGCAAGGCTTTGACTTTTTCCGTAATATTTATAGCAGAATTCAGGAACTTTGTTATGTACTCTCTGACGCTTGGGTGGATACACATCTGTTTGGAAAAATATCTGAACTTTTAATCAGAACAGAAAGTAATGTATAAAATTTAAAAAGTCATCTCTCATGCTATCATTTTTAGCATCAAAGGCCTATGTCATTAGAGACAAGTTAGTCAAGGTCAGTTTACTAAAATCCTTTGAAAGAAGAAAAATGAACCAAGTGAAGCATATCTAATATTTTGATTCATCTTATACAAAGTATGTTACTGATAAAAAAATCTACACCCAAGATGAAAGATTGAGAATGAAAGATTGGGTAACATCTTAACCCTTTAAGACCTGAGTTAAGGCCGCTATCGGAATAAAATTCTTTTTTGCATTTTTGAGCTCTTTTGTGATTGTAATTGAAATTTTCATGCTTTATACGTGGTCTTTATACTTTGTATAAATTTACCATATCATACCATATATTATATATTATACATTTCATTAAATAACTGAAGATTACAAAACTAATGAGTGAAAGAAGGCCTCTGAAGGAAATGAGCCATTCATAATTACGCCCATTGAAGCGTAATATGGAGCGCAAAGTCACGGGAATTCTAAGAAATTGCCATAGACACAATGCAAATGCAATGTCCATTGGAATGGATGCCAGGTCTGAAAGGGTTAAATACTGGTCATGCTTCCAATCAATCTGCAAGCTTTCTTGATTTTAGGAAGTGAGGCACACTTTTTCCTATTCGGAATGTCCAGTAATACTTTTTTAAATTTATAAATATCTGATGAAGACTGTCATTCTAAAGAAATATCAGAACATTCAGGTGGAATCGGTACCCTATGGAAATTCCTATATTTTTTTGGGATAATGGATGACTAGCACATTAGACTCTCATAAGACAAATCTCTTAAAGAGGAGTGGGGGGCCACAAAGGGATTTTGGCATGGCTCCTTACAAATTCCAACAAAAAATTAACTGAGCAGTGGAGAGGTAGTGGATGGACTGATCCCTTCCATCTTTCCTCAATTGCCCTATTAAAACTTCTAAATGAATCGTCATGTATTATACCAGATGTATTATATAATATCTTAGAGATTCAGATTTTTCCTACCTTTATCATGCCTCAAAAAGATTCTGTGGATAAAAAGCATATAGATTGCCAGATTATTCAGAATATTTTTGAGAGCTTAATAAAAGGCAAGCATTATGAGTATGAAAGGAAAAGTATATATTTTCATGGTGGCACTTGGCAAATGGCCATTGTAATTTGGATTTCAGCAATCCTATCCTTACCCCTCCAGTTATCCATTTATATTCTAACTATAGAAGTTTCAACATCAGCAGGTCAACCTAATAAGAATGTGTTGAACACAATTGTTGATTAAATCATTGTGCTGCAACACATTTGGTACAACAACTTCTCTTCAGCATAGACTCAAACTAGCTATGTTCATCCCAATGAAAAGGTTGCCCCAGGCAGCCAATTTTTAAA